GACAACACGGTGGGTAGGAATAAGCAGCAGAAAATGGAAGGTGCTGTTGAGAGTGAGGGGTGGGCCGGGGTGGCCCACCCAACCAACCCCCACTTGCAGGGTCCCAGAGCTGCTCCCAGCTCCCTGTAGAAGGCGGCTTCTCAGGCCCCTGTCTGAGGGGGAGAGCTGGCTGGCCAGCCCCGGGGCAGACCCACCTGCAGCTTCTCGATGATGTTCTTGTAGTCCCACTGGTTGGCGGTGGGCGTGACGCGCGGGAAGGCCCGAGTGGCCACCTTGTAGCTGGAGGCGTTGCGCTGGGCGGCGGCGGCACAGCTGGCCCCGGTGCTGAGCAGCGAGCTGATGTGGGCGTCCAGGTCCAGGGGCAGCAGAATGGCCCGGCCTTTGGCTGGGTGGGGAGAGGGGTGGGGTGCTGGTGTAGGGGTGGGTGACTGGCCAGAGGGCTGGGCTTAGAGCTGCTGGACTGAAGGCCTTGTCTTGAGACTGTGGGGCCCTCTTCCCTTTTGGGGGTAAAAAGAGGCAGTTCTGTCTGGGTGTTAGTAACAGTTAGCACCGGCTAGCCAAAGGGTTGGAGGTTGTAGTCCACCCAGTGTGCCTTGGAAGAAAGGCCTGGAGATGGCGTTCCAAAATAGGGCTACTGAAACCCTGTCTGCCATGTCACTAGTCAGACTGACCCCAAAGCACCTGGCACAATGGTTTCTGCCTCTGGGCTCCATCCCGGCCCCACTGCAACCCCTCCCCACCCCCACCATTCCTCCTCCCCTCGCTCTAATAATGTCCCGTCCTGGATCCACTGGAAAACACCCCACCACCACCATCCCTCCTCTCCCCCCCTAATAATCTCAAGCCTCCCTCCTGCCTGATGCCATTTTCAAGCAAAACACGAAGCTGGTTGGGGAGTGGCCAGCCACCACCACCCAGCATGCCTTCTCCAGGGAATTCCCAAGAGAAGACAGCGGCCTTCGGCCAGAGATGCCCGTTAGACGCAAAGAAGGACTTACAGAGAAGCCCTGGGGGCAGGTGATGGGCGAGCTTAGGGGTGAGGTCTGCACTCTGAGGGCAGTTGTCCCAGGTGAAGGGCGGGGAGGAGAATGGAGCCGGCCAGGCCCCCCGTCACTCACCCACCATGGCCAGGGTCCGGATGCAGGCCTCCACGGAGCCCTTGTGCAGCTGCTGCAGCCACGGGCACTCAAGCAGCCTGGTGGTGGACTGCAGCAGCTGCACCACGATGGTCTGGTGCGTCTGCAGAGGACATACTGCTGTGACCTCCCAGGCCTCCGCCAGCACCTCGTGCCTCTGGGCCAGTTGGACAAGAGCACCCCCTTTCCTAGAGCTGAGCCGAGCCCAGCAGGACCTGGCAGCCCTGTGAGGGGCACCCCCGAGGTCAGGGCCCTGCGGCAGACCTTTATTTCTCTTTTTTTAAATGTCTTAATGAAATTGACCTTGTGGAAAAGCAACACATGCAGTACATAGTCCAAATGCTGAAAACTTCCAACGTTGCTGCCATCAAGCCTATAGGACAGGGAGAGCTGCCTCTGGGTTTCCAGGACTGGCATTCTTTGTGGGAGTAGAAAGTCCTGTCTTCCTCCCAGGGAGCAGCGGGTGGTTTTGAACTGCTGACCTTCCGGCTGGTAGCCCAACACGTACCCCACCGCGCTACCAGGGCTCCTTTTCAAATATGGAAAGACTTTCTAAAAAGGTACACTGCAGGCAGCCTCAGGCCCCTGGCCCCCATCACCAGCACTTCCCGCTCTGCCCTGGGGCTGATGACAGGTGGGGAGCTCAAGCCAAACTCACTGCCCGAGTGAATCCGGACTCGTATTGGCCCCCAGCTACTCCAGGTGGGGAGAGCAGACACAATCAGAGCCCAGGGGCTCAAAGGGGACCTGGGGCCCAAACACGTGTGTCACAATAAAAGCACCCCCTTGATGATCGTAGAAGATCGTCACACAGGTGGCAGATGCCACTAAAGTGGGTATGTGCAGTGGCCGCCTTGGCAAACGTTTCGTTAGATGCAATGCTCGACAAGCATTAAATAGATAACGCCCACCCTGGCCAAGAAGGCGGAGGAAAGACGATCCTGTCTGCTCCCGTGAGGAATTCTCTCGCTGCCATTGAGTGGATTCCGACTCTCAGTGACCCTGAAGGACAGGGTAGAACTGCCCCTGTGGGCTTCCCAGACTAACACTTTATGGGAGGAAAGAGCCTCATCTTTCTCCCACAGGGCAGCTGTTGGGTTGGAACTGCTGGCTTTGGGATTAGCAGCCCAACACGCAGCTCTATGCCATCCGAGTGACAGAAGCCCTGGGGAGCAGCCACCCCGGTCCTGTAGGAAGCGGCTTTGTGGCAGTGGGTGGGGCGGGGGCGCAGATCAACAGGGTAGGACACATCATCTCTTCTTCCTTTTTAAAAATTCCTTTTCTTAGACTGGTGTGTGCAGTGACACCTTTCACCCAGGGAAAGGCTGCCTGTCCAACGGTGTCCCCCCGCAGGCCTCGGACAGACGTGGACGAGATTCTCCCTCCCCCTCAGCACCGGCCCCAGCCTGCGGCAGCCTCCCTCCTTTATTGGTCTTCAGTATCCCTCGCTGTCTCTAAGCAATTTCAGCAGCTCAGCAGGACCTTCTTAGGGTCCTGGCTTTTCTCAGTCAGCCGGGCCCGGGTGTGTGCTGACTTGAGTCTCCCAGGGATTCATCCAGTTCACACAGTGCTCACTCGACCCGGCGGTTTCCGAGCTTGCACACAGGCCACACCACTGCAGTTCTAGAAAGACCACGGTGAGCCACGGCAGCGGTCCCTGAGCAGACTGACTCCTGGTGGCCAGGGGCGTCTAAGAACAGTGCCCAGCGGGGTTTCCCTGGCCTCTGGTCTCTCACAAGGAGACACCCAGGACTTTACCCCGAGGCCCTCTGGGCGGGCTCTAACTGCCAACGTTGCCATTCTCCATGGACACCCCCCAGCGACCCCGCGGCCTCTTAGCCGGCACCCAGGTCCCTGATCACTGCGCAGCTGCTGCTGTCCATGCAGCCACCTGGCGCGCTGTCACGCGGCCCTGCCACCAGGATGCAGCACACCCACTGACTTTAGTTCCTGTTGGTCGGCACCTACTCTGCGGCAGTGAATTTGGTCGGCATGATTCAAGGGCACAGCTCGGAAAGATCGAATTTGCTGTTCTTGGCGGCAAACCATGGGAAACCCATGGCACAGCCGAGAACCGGTACACTGCAGCAGCACGAGCAAACACGGACTCACGTCCGGGGTTCCCTTCCCTAGACCCAAGCCGGCCGGGGCAGGCGTGTGGGGTGGGTGGGGGCTCACCTGCAGAGAGGTGCTGTTCTCGGAGAACGGGGAACTGAAGAAGGCGTTGACAGTGTCGAGCACGACAGTCAGCACGTACTTCTCCAGCGTGGGGTCCGCCAGGCGCTTTTCCCGCTTACTGCAGACCTGGTGTAGGAGGGCGGCCCGGGTGAGGCCACGCGGCCGAGTCCACTCCCGCCCTCCTGGGAGGCTGCCCAGGCCGGCTCTGTGCTGCCTCCGTGTCCCCGAGAGACTGACCCGCGCCATGTCCAAGGTGAAGCTCTCAAAGAGCGTCCAGATGTGATTGCTGGTGTAGATCTCCTTCATCTCTACCTCCGTGTCCACGTAGCAGTGGTTCACGAAGTTCACATAGGCCATCTTCACCTGCGCAGCCCGGGCAGGGGGCCAGGGTCACCCACAGCGTGGCCCACGCGGGCCCCGAGCCTGCCCCTGCACCACCCGCCTCTGCCCGCCCCCCAGGACAGAGCGGCTGCCCTGTCCACTCCCTCCCAAGGGATCTGTGCTGACCCACCTCGGTGATGCAGTCCTCGTGGGTCACCACGGATACCACGTCCTCCAGGGGCAGCAGGGAGGTACACTTGATCTCCGTGTAGACATTCTTGCCCTCAGCGCAGGCAGCCAGCAGATCCACCAGGGAGATGTGGTACATGAGGGGGCTGTGGTCCTCCACACCGTCGCGGGCGGCCTTCATCATGTCCAGCAGGTGGCCCAGGGAAGCCTTGTCGTTGTAGAACACAACCACGTCGTCGCCTGCGTTGGTCAGCTGTGGGAGCGGGGAGACACGTCAGAGCCCTCAGCCTCCACCACACCCCCACATTGGATAGCAAACAGTGGGGTCTCTAACTCCAGCCCTTGTCTCACAGGCAGGGAAAGCCTAGGATTGGAGGGCTCCCCGGCCCTTGGGGTACTGGGCTGATGTCTCAGACCCCCTGCCGTTGGGATGCTGACCCTTGGCCCCAGGAAGCTCCCACCTGAGCCCATCTGAGAGGTAGCCCCCTCCGGGAAGCCCTTTCGGATCCCACCCGCCAGCTCCCCTGTGTGCCTATGGCGGACTTAGGGCGCATAGGCACCGCCCCAGGTAGCGACTGTGTGGCTCACAGGGATACCATCGTGGCCAGCAGGCATCGCCAGGGCCAGCACTTTCGCACGCACCACCTCCACCTGCACACGTCCTCCTCGGCCCGGAGGGGAGACTTCATGTACTTTAAGTCCCCGATAAAGCAGGGCAGCTGGAGCCTGCCGTGCAGTCCTGAGACTGCGGGGTCCCTGACTGAGCTGTGCTGGGCCCACCGCCTGAGGTTTCCCTCTGTGACCTGCAAGTGGAGATCCCCTCCCCAGAGGCCGCCGCCGCCGGGGTGCTCTCCTGCGTGACCCACCCCCAGGGCCCCCGGGCGCCCTCACCTCCGTCATGATCATGTCCTGGCACTTCTTGACGTACTTGCCCTCGGCCTTGATGACGGTGTGCAGGAAGTCCAGGTACTGCACGTGCCGGCCGTGCGTGGCCAGCAGGTGCACAAAGTGCTGCAGCACCGGCTCGCTGATCTCGGAGCAGAGCTGATAGTTGTTCAGGAAGATGTGCTGCATGGTCTCCACCTCCAGGAGCTGGGGGCGGGGGGTGGGGCAGGCCATCAGAGGGGGGGCCAGGCCCACTGCCCCACCCAGGCACCCCCGGCCCTGCACCCTCACCCCCGGCGTGAGGAAGAGGTGCAGGTGCTTGTGCAGCAGGGCCTGGTTGCCGGGGTTCCCCGCACAGAACTTCTGCAGGAACTGGTGGGTGTAGCGCAGGATCTCCACCATCTTGGTATCTCCCTGGACGTGAGGGGGACGAGAGGGGCTGCCAGGCTGGGCCACGGGGAGGCAGGCAAGGCCGGGGCTGGGGTCCGCGCTCAGAAGGCCATCGGGGCTGGGGGCTGGGACCACAGAGCTTAGAGGCCCTGATCAGGCACTGAGGACAAGAGGTGGTGCTATGGCCGGCTGAGGCCTTCTACCATTGCTGCCACGGCAGAGAGCCAGGGTAAGAAGTCAGGGGGACACACGGGGTCAGGGTCAGGAGCAGGGTTGGGACCTATCAAGGTCAGTCAAGGTGAAGGATTGAGAGTTAGGGGCCCGGGGGGCCTGGAGACAGGGCAGGGCAGGAGAGCAGCGTGAATCTAGCGTAAGAAATCCAAAAGCAGGGGGAGGCCAGAGTCGAGGTCAGGGGACAGGAGAGGCTGGGGTCAGATTAGCGTCAGTGTGGATCAGAACAACACACGGGGGTCAGCGTCTGAGATGCAGTAGAGGTTTCAGGGTGAGGCTGGTGGGTGGCAGGAGGTGGGGACCGGGTGAAGAATCGGGGTGCGGCAAGGGCCGAATCGAGGTCAAGTCGGTCAGGATGCGGGGTCTTAGGGTCAAAGGTTGAGACGGCGCTGTGACGGGGTTCAGAGGTGGGGCTCTGCCTGGAGACTGGTCGAGGGTTCAGTTGGTCCGAGAGGTTAGTGGGCACTTGGGGTCAGGCCAACAGGCGGGGGGTGGCCGCAGGCACCTTGTCGTACGGGACCTGTAGCAGGTCCAGCAGGACTTTGTGGGCATCCATGTTCTTCAGGAGCCGCTGCTGCTTCTTGCGCATCTGCTCCCCGACGCCACACATCTTGTTCAGCCGCTCCAAGATCTGCAGAGCGCCGCGTCAGCCAGAGCCCTCCTCCCCTCCGCCCGGCCCTGCAACCATGCTCTGGCTCTGGGGGGGACCCAGGGACTGGAAAGGGGAAAGGGGCCACAGCCTCGGAGCCACATCACCGCATCCAGCCCGGGGAAGTACCGAAAATGCCAACCCCAACCTGGCCTGGAAATAAATAAAGCCATGTGGCGGCGAGGTGGGATCTCGTTAAATTCCTGCTGCTTTAAAGCCTTTCCATCTGGACCTCGGCAGGGCTGTTCGGCGCACAGGGAGAGGCTGGACAGTGTCTGGTTTGGGGGCCAGAGGCCAGCAGAGGGGGAAGCGGAGCCAGCTGGAGCCAGAGGTGAGCAGGCCCACCCTCCAGGGCCCTCGCCAACTCACGCCCTTGACAATCTGGTAGTTCTCGCTGCTTTTCTCCCCCGGGGGATGCAGGAAGCCCTCCTCATCCGTGGGCTGCTAGGGGCAGGAACGGAGCCTGAGGTCAGCCGGACCCGGGCCTCCCAGGGGGCCCTGGCCCAGCTCTGGGAACCCCTGCTCACTCACCTCCTTCTTGTCCTTGGCGGCACCCGCCTCCCCCTCGTCGCCCTTGCTGCCCTTCTTGTCCACCCACAGCTCCGACTTCTCCACCATGGTCCGCAGCCGGTCCAGCTCTGACTTGATAACCTTGTAGTTCTCCACATCCTGGGCCGAGATCAGCAGCTGCACCTGAAGGCCAAGCACAGGGCTGGCCAGTGAGACCGCCGTCCACTGCCACACTTCCCCCTGCCAGGGCTCTCTCCTGACCACCACTGGCACCTCTCCCGACAAGCCACATCCCACCAGGCATCCCCAAGCCCGCCACAGCCCACTTCCTCCAGGAAGCACTCTGCTAGCCGGGGCCGCGTCCGCTCTCTGCCCGGGCAGAGGTTCTCATGGGCTGGTCACACGCTGCCGGGGCCTGTCACTTGCTCACAGGCCACGGGGCAGGACAGAGCATATTGACATCACTGACTCCTGACTGAAGGCGGGTCCTGAGCCCTGAAGGAAGGCCTGGGCCTGAGTCTGGATCCCACTGTGCTGCCTCTGGATTAGTGGAAAAGGAGCGGAGGTTGTCCAGGCACCAGCTTCCCCGTCTGGAAGCTGGGACGCGGAGGACTAGCCACGCCAACGAGGCGCCTGCAAGAACTCCGAGAGGCCGTGTGAGGACGGACAGACAGCCTCCAAGGTCCAGCACACGGTTCTACTCAAAGACACGGCCATCGAGCCGATGCCGACCATCGCGACCCTGGAGTGCAGGGCAGAGCTGCCCCCGTGGGTGTCCAAGACCGCCCCCCTTGTTACGGGAGCCGAAAGCCTCGTCTTCCAAGGAAAGGCTAGGGCTTTAGAACTGCTGCCGTGCAGTTAGGAGCCCAACGCGTGACCACCACGCCGCACACAGCAAGCATGCATGAGCGGCCAGACCAGTCCAGGTCTCCGCGCCCGGGGAAGGGGCTTCAAAAGGCTCCTTGGAAAATCCTAGTATCTCTCACCCCCCCCCCATCTTATCTTTCCATACACTTTTTATCTTTCTACAAACTTTTTGGAGCCCCCTTAAACAGGGAGCCCTCCCGACTACATGACACCCCGATACTGACAGCCAGTCCCCTTGGTGAGGGCTGACTACGTGCCAGGCGCGAGCCAAGCACTCGGTGGGGGGGGGGGGCCTGTGACGTGCTGTCCACCTCGTGTAAGATGCTGCTGCAGGCCAGGCCTAGAGGGTAGGAGGCAAAGGTGGCTGAGCCTAGTCCTCGTGCTTTGAAAGACTTTAAACAAACCTACAAGCACGGGTGCTGTGGAGCCCAGCCCAGCCCGCCGGGCATCAGAGTGGAACTGAGCCCTAGCCGGTCCCCAGAAGTGGCTCCCCAGGCTCTTCTTCGGGGGCACCTGGGTGGACCTGCCCCCACCCCTGGATCAGCAGCCGAGCTTGCTCACGTTTGCGCACCCAGACACTTCCTAAGCAGCTTGGTTGTGTTGTTTTTCAGACCCCACAAAACCCTAGCCTCGGATTCGGAGTCTGGGGCGTGGGGGTGAAGGTCCTACAGCATTGAGTCTTCCTGGCTGCCTTCTCCCCGAAGCAAACCCCTAGAGTTTCTCCTGCGGGGTCACTCGGGACTGTGGGGGGTGGGGGTTCGCTCAGTCAACTGTGAGGTTAGCAACTGACCAAGAACGGCTCACGCTACCCTGAGATAAATCTCCGACCCCCACCCACCCACGGGCTGACTCCCAGGGTCCAAAGAGGGGAGGGCGGGCACCTGTTTGAAGGTGTGCATGGCCTCCTGGCGCTGGCTGAAGTGCTTAAAGAGTAGCTGCAGAGCCCCGGAGACCAGCGGCGCGTAGTCGTGCATGGTGAGGTGGATGAGCACGCGCAGGAACATGCGGCCGCCCTCATCGTCCACCTCCAGCATGCTGCTCGTCTTC